CAGCCATTTTACGTATATTTCTGCCACGCACGTGCTCAATTCTGCTAAATAGCAGCGAGGACGGCGAATTCCTTACCCARATTCTATCGGCTCTGTTAGCCGCCAAATCGAACATCATACAGAATTCAATTTGCACCTTCTCTATACTTTACGTTCTCTGGTTGAGGTCGTTTTGAATACCTTTTGGTTTGGTTATTTTTTTGTCTACACTTTCTGAGATTTCGTACTGGGTGGTGAGCACTTTTCCCGTGATGACAGCTTTTGCTCCCACAATAATTACGACTTTTCTTGTAACGCTGCTTTGCATATATTTACCAGCATAGGACCCTAGTTATCTGCGGGAATGTTTTGGGTCAATAAAAGCGACAAACAATTGGAAACAGTGGATTGAAGTTTGATAAATTCTTCACTGGTTTCCTTTTGTACTTTTGGCAAGTACATTGAAATTGTTATTTTCTTATCGACCAATATTCGTTCATTTTCGTACATTGATTTCAAAGCTTCCCAAGCATTATTGAAATTGTCGTCATACGAGTATAATGCGAACTGTTTTACTATGACGCCTGGAAGGATGGCCACTGTTCATAACCCCCCTGACGAATTTCTGTGTCACATGCGAGCACCTTGAGGTGGATACCTGAACTTGCCTCTTGACTTTGTACATGTAGCATCTCTACTCAAGGAAGTGGAGTAGGTGCAATTGCTTTAATCAGTTTCAATTGATCAGTAATCATTGCTTTCGTTTCTTCAATTTTGGCGTAAGCCAAATTTTTTGATTTCCAATGCTGATTCAGAATTATCTTGAACTGGCGAAGATAAAAATCGAGTGCAGTATCTTATTAAACTGGCACTGTTGTCTTTTTATAACGTTTTTCCCCCTTTTTTATTTTTGTAACACCTTGCTTTGAGCGTGTAGCTTCTGCAGGTATACGTGGACTTTTTTCGCCCGAAATCATTTTTGGAACTTTCAGTAGTTGTGAAGATTTAGATTCTTTAGAATCTGCGTTCATTTAGAAAAAATATATTAACGAAATAACTTCTTTCAGTATAAATTGATTGACTTTAAGTGAAATTGCTGATTGCAAAGCGAAGTCTCTTGTAAATAATAAAATTTAAAATTTTATTTTGCCTATCGGATTAAATTAAATAACGCTTTTATTTAATTAATCTCAAAAATAGTATACAATTATTGCCGAATTTATTTAGTATTTATTTAATTGCTAAAATAAGCAATTTTATTAAATTGTTTTGTGTTTGTGTGTCTGATGTGAGTGCTTGTATAAGAGATCAGTACTTTTTGTACATACATGTATGTAGTATATACGCAATCCTGCTTGTTTTTGCTTACCAAAGAACAAAGGGTATCGCCGAAAATGTGCCAATTTGGACTTTGAATATTTAATTACTAATTTATTTATATAAATATATATTTTAAAACTTTATACTATTTCTACCGAACTGTTTAATAAGTATATAATATTTTGAGGTACCCTCGTAGGGTATAATTAGCGTTCCGTATTACATATCATAAGTTTATATGCAAGTGTGCATATATTGTTTCTCAGTGGAGCGAGTTAGCGTGCGGAATTGAGAAATGAAATAATCGTATGTGTACTTCTGCAGCGGAATATGGTAAACATTGGTAAGCGAGCAAGGTAAACGGTGCAGCAAGATTGTATCGCTTACTCCGACCGATGAAAATTAATACGGCGATGTCCTACAAAAAGTAACAGATCACCCCTTTCGCTTACCATAGGGACGCAGAATTCTTCGATGCCTCAATTAACGAAGACTTCTTCGATCCCAAAGTTAGCGGAGAATTCTTCGATGCCTCAATTAACGAAGAATTCTTCGATACTAAAGTTAACGGAGAATTCTTCTATTCCAAGGTCAATAGTAGAATAGAAACAAATTCATATTAATTTTGCTTTATTTATGAAAGTGCATACATGTATTTCATTATTAAAATAAGTATTTTTATATAATATAAAAGGGAATTTTTTTTTAATTTTCTGGTTAAGTCTCTTTTCGCGTTTTTTCCAAGCAACGAGACTTGAAGAAACGGCCTTTCGCGAGTCTGATACTTTTTTGAATTTGGTGAATATATTCCGATTCAGTGAAGTGATTCAACTTTCACATATTCTATGTCCTTCAATGATAAAAGGTCGAAAAACTTACCAAATAGTAACGCATTAAAGTGCTTAAATTCCTTCAAAGATTTCTTGCCCTTCACATCGAAGTAATTGTGTTCCAGCAACAATTCAACTGCTATAATTTTATGCAGCGATTTTTCGATTGCATTGTGAATTTTAATTTTTGAGTTAAAATGTGACACCAAAGTGTAGTATTTTTAAATAAACTCACATATTTTTCCTTGTTGCCTTCCAATTCTGTGTCAAGTTCTTTTAACGCTTCGTTAGTTTTTAATGGAAATTTATTGGTAGATTTGCGACTGCAACTCATTGCATTTATGAGGGCATTATTCGTTGACTGTGCGGTGGTTAGTTTTCGCAACAGCTCATTTGTGGTGTTAACTTGTTTCGCCAATTTCTTTATATGTTGTTGCATTTCGTAAATTTTTTTTCAGACTGGCGATTTCGCATGGACAAGAATCTGAAAATATAGACTAAACATATCAGGTAGTGAAATATCTACTGTTCGCATTAAAATAACTTACTTTCGTTTTTGTAATTTTCCACAACCGATTTCACGCCAAAAAACTTCATCCCGTGGTAACTCATCTTATAGATCTTAAACACAAAATTGAAAAATTTTTTAATTAAAAAAGCAGCTCACCTGAAAACAACGAACTTTCTTGACGATTTGACGAAATAATGAAAAGATTTACTTATAAATTGTATTCCATCAATTTGTATTTGCCATTTTTCATGTACTTACTTGATTGAAAATATGAACACAGTACAATTTAGCCTTTTATGCAATACCTAGTATCGAAGAATTTTCTTCGAAGCATTCTTCAAAGAAAAATGTAAGCGATGAACGATTATCCCGCTGGGTCGGTTTGTAAACGTGCTCTCTGCTCTCTGTATAAGTTTTCTCCCTACGGCTTGGGAGGATTTAAAAAAACAATTTTAGTTTTTTTCTTGGAGACAAGTTCCGTTCTTTATTCGATGCAACGAAAATGCAAAAAAGCTTCTTACAATTAATTGTTACTTCTATTTACACAATATTTTCTAACTTAGTTTTATATTATATGTTGTTGCAGTTTTGTCACCTGAGCTGCGCTGTCACTTCTTGCTGATAGGCAAAAGGTCCTCAGAGGAAGTGCATTTTCGCAAGTGCACTAATTTAAGTGAAGTTGGCGATTTCGTAATAAAAGTTATGCTTTTGTTTAGTCAGTTTGGGACCGAATTATTTATATTAAATTTTACAGTTTATGGCGTAAACTCCCTCCTCTTAAGTTCGATCGATTAAAAATAGGGTAAGTTATTGCAACTGATGGTTTCTTGAAGTGGATTTTCTGCTTCCAATATATTTGTCGTCAAATATTTTATATTAACCGGTGCTTCTGTTGTATGTTATATTTCGTGTACAACATTTTTTGTGCTTTCTTCCCAACCAAGAAGAGCTGAGCACACGTAAAGAGAATTTATTTATTATCGCATTCGTTTTTAAGTAATTGATAGTTTTGGCAGGAATAAAGGGATGTTCAACTTATTCCAGTGTGAGAGCACCTCGAAATTAGCGTTTTTTTTTATAACATTTTCCATTATGGCCAGATTGGACAAAATAATAATTTTTGGCTATTTAAATTAAAACAACCTACATTTAGTACGAATAAAAATTACTATATAGTGGTTATTTATTATATGGAGAAACTATTTAAATTTTTTTTTAAAGTATATTAGAATAACTGACTTGACCTTTCAATGCCCAATAAAAGCTTTTAAGCTTGTTAGCTCTCAATCATTAAATGTTTTTAATAATTTTCCATTGAAAATAATACTATTATGATGCTTCAAATTAAAAAACATTTCGTCAAATACCTTTACATTTCACAATTTATTTAATTTTCATTGCTCTATATTTTTTATAAGTGGTCTCGAAAGATGCAACCAATCAGTCCGTTTACATATTTTTTTGGCAAGATTTCAATCGCCATCGTTCGTTTCCAATTGATAAATGTCAAAACCTGAACTCGATTAGCTGTCAAAGTTCAGTGGGTTTTGACGTTTAGCAATTGCACTCTCACTTCCAGTGAGAGAGGAGTTGAACATCTCTTTATCTCTGGTTTTGGTGTTGTTGATATGCAGTTCGTTACTTCTAATGTAGATGCTTCAATATTCCAATAATATTGGTTACCTATTTTTAGTGATGTGTTGTGGAACTTAATAAGGAAGGTACCAACTATTCTGTGATTTTCCTTATCGTTATTAATTGTAGCATTAAAATCATTTACAAGTAACAAGCCTGGTTACAACTCTTCAATGGGGGAATGTTGGGCCACGTTTTGATTTCGGTTAAAAAGTCACATAAAAGTTATTTTTTGTGAAAATTCCAAAGCATGGATTTGTAGTGCGAGTCGTAACCTTCCTTTTGATAACATTGGTTTGATAAAATTCTACAAAAATTTAAAAGYTATAGCCATTGGCACAAAAAACCTGATTTTGCGATTTTGAAAAAAGGTGGGGAATGCGGGCTGTCTGTAAATCGATTAAAACATGATTGTTACCCATGAAAAACTTTTATTTATCAATGGAAATGAGAGAGATTTATAAATAATGAGAAAAATAGGAATTGGCGAAAAAAATTATTCCGAATCGCAGGGGATGCAGGTGTAAGTGTTTTGGTTCGGTTCGGCACATTTCAAGTGAACCCCTCGATCACAAACGATGCAATGGGCCGTGTTTTGACGATTCTCGTGCTTCGGCATCTTTTTCTTGCAAATCGTGCAAAAATCGAAGTCCTCTTTGATGCTTCTTCGGGCTTCTCTTCCGTGGCGTCTTCGATTTGCCACGGCCTTTTTGCTTCTTGGCTGCTGGTTCATCGGCTGCCTTCGTCAATTTTTGCCGCTTTTTTTCGGCCTTGTCAAGCAGATCTGCGACAACCTCAGGCGATGTCAAAATCGTTGACTTCATTGTCTTGCGGCCACGTTTTGATTTCGGCGCAGGTGTGCCCAATTTCAACGGGCTAACCGATTTCAATGCATCACGGAGCTGTRGAGCCGAAACAAGAGACAACGACGATGATGCAGCAYCACTTGTTGAAGCTGGGGCACTTGTCGATGCCTCCGACGTTGACACCTCCTCATTMGCAGCAGTCACAATGGCATCACCAGAGGCAAGAACTCGACGTTGATTGTCGGCGTCTTTCTCTTCGTCACCGAACAAATTTTCGCCGCTCAGTTCTGAAGCGACAAAGTCAACTGCAGTGAAAATTTGAGGGTTGAACGGGTAGATGCCAGTTGTTCGGAAGCCGGATTTGATGGTTTTCGGCGTTAACATAACATCGAAGCACTGATCGACAAGGAGCGGCACATGATGCAGATCGAAAGTGACACCAATGTTGGACTTTTTCCATGCATCATGCTTCACGGTCATCATGCCTTTAAATGGTGCACATACCGCAACATCTAGCGACTGCATTTTGTGCGTGCATTTCGCCAAATCTATCGCCTCGATCGATAAATGCGAACCGTGGTTGTCCAGCAGCAACATGGTTGGCGAATAGGCATTAGCACCAGTGTGCTTGATGAAATGACGCATGAATTGAGGGAACACGTCAGAGTTCATGTAACCAGAACCGTTCGCAACACCAACAGCGCCATGACTCGCATGAGTCATAAAAATCTCTTTCATGTTGACTCGGGGAAAGAGGAAGAATGGCGGTATAGACTGGCCACTAAGCCTGACGGCCAAAGTCAAAGGCACATTGGTGCCTTTTTCGGCAGATGTTGATGAGCCGACCTGCTTTTGTCCTTTGCGCGCGATGGTTTTACAGGTCTGGTTGGCACGGTCGGGCACCCGATTTCATCCATGTTCCATATTCGGTGAGGTTCAAACGGCGCCTTACCGAGAACGGATGAAAGGTTGGCAAAGAATGCATCGACATTCTCTTTGTTGAATCGCTTCGCACGGCTCTGGCTTACTTGTTCTGGTGTTCGCAGTGACAMATTTTTGTGGCGTTTCATGAACGCCAACTGCCAATCCTTACTCGCCTGTTGATTGTCGTTCCATGGATCCGGATACGACGCGCCAACTTTCCGAGCAAATTCGTACGCGAGCTTACGAAGCTCCATCAAACTAATTCCATAGTTGATGTCGCTGGCCTGGAGAATGTAGCTTATCAGCGCCTTCTCTTGTTCGATGTTGAAGATCTGAAATAAAAAAAAAATTTTTATTATTCGATGAAAGAAAAAGAAAGAAACCAGCAGAACTCACAGTTTTTGTGCCCATCGTCGTGCTTTCAGCCAGCAAATTCTTCATTACATCCGCATTGGCAGTAGTAACGTCAATGCTCGCACCATCAAATGCTGCAATATAACGCATCAGGTTGGTCCTCGGAATTTTGTGTGCCGTYGCAGATTGTCGAACGCTGTTGTGATGTATTTTCACCGACTTGATCGCCTCCAAAATGTTGTCGAAATCAAYARTTTTCTCTTGTTTGGGATAGTACCGCGGCATAATGACTAAACAAAATTTTTCGGAGTACGAAACTATCAGGAAATGTTGAAAAACTATTGTGTTGTTGAAATTCTGCACGAAAAATCACTTATACACGTCAAATATATGAAGTTAGCATGTAAAAATGTAAAAAACTACACACACAAAACGACCCGACATTCCCCGTAATTCCCCAAACGATCATATTTGCAAAATGGCGGTGGATAATGAACACAATGTAAATTCGTGCAAAATTTCTTTTGTGTGTCGAAGGCTAAAGGCTCAGCTAATATCATAAAAATATTTACCTGGATGAATTTATTGGAAAATGTGAAAAAAAACCAACTGTACACAGAGTTGAAAAAAAACTTTCGGAGTGTCGAATTTCTTTTTGTTVTCGCAGAGAGGTTATAAYACGTGTTCACASCTCGAGTGCTATATAGAAACTGAGCTTAGTATGAGACGAGCCGATGACAGTTGGTTGCAGCTGTCAACCTATTCTAGGGAAAAAAATATCGCGCTGGCCCGGGATTCCCCAACATTCCCCACCTTCCCCTACTAATTAATTTAGGTAGACACTTATCTTTACTTATATCTACTAATTGATTTCTTTTACATATTTTAATACAACTATATTAATTGCATTTATTTTCAATGCCATAGATTTTCGTTTCTTTTTTTTATCAATATTTGATTATATTTTAAATGTACAGCTTGATTGAGCCGTTTCAGGGGTTAGGTGGGTTTGAAAATTTCCAAAAATTGATTTTTTTTATTTGCTTTATTAAATTCTACAATACCTCTAGAATAAAGTCCTAAATTTTGAAGTGGATCTGAGTAATAATTTCGGAGATACAGCATTGAGAACTTGTGCACTCAAGGCTAGCTGCGCTAAGTGCCCTGTCTTTGAACGCGTTTTTTTCGAAACTGTGTTTTTGAAGTCGATGGACACGATTTCCCGAACGAAGGACTTATTCTTGTTTCATCACAACTTATTTTTCTGACTAAAAAATTCCGAAAATTTGACCAAAAATGAGATTTTTTGTGCACAAATGCGGTCTCAACCGTGGAATTATCAACATTTTTGTATCGAAATTTCAGGAGATATTGTTCGAATATATACTACCTTTGATATAACATATTATATTTTTCAAATATATGATTACTTGTATTAAAAACAAATCGTAAAAGTACCTTCTTTTGTACCTCTGAAACCCACCTAACAATACAATAATATTGCTGTAAATTTCTTTTTCAGTTAAATGTATTTTAATAATATATAATAATGTTGTTGAATTGCTTAAAATATTTATATCAGCATATTCTATAATCTAAGTTAATAGCCCCTTTACTACGGAAAGTTTGTAATGGTTTAATATTTTGAGGGATATACATAGCTTCAATTATTTCATGGGATAAAATTGGATAAAAAATGTTGGCGGATGTATATTAAATAAATTATCTTAAATGTACCATCCTGTATCTTTGAATGTTTGTCTTTTGTAGTAATAATATGCGATGAAGTGTAGTCCAAAAGTTGTATTTCTGCTATGCAGGGGATTATCCGAAGAAAAATCCTAAAAATAAAAAAATTTACTGTTTAATGTTTTTCTGATGCACTACTCGTCCTGTTTTAGTTTTAACTGTCATGTTAAAGTTAGTCGCTACTGTTTCTTTTTTATACCTTGGGGACAATTTATTGCCAATTCTCCTATTTAATTTTACGTATGTATATTATGTCTCCATCGGAATATGTTTTCATATCTGTGCTATTTTTATTATGGTAAGCCAGATCGGCGTTTTGTTTGCCTAATATTGTTTTTTTGTTATGTCTTCTCTTTCATTCTGAATTAAATTTGGATCGGTACCCACTCGTCTACCGAAAAAAGTTTCAACTGATTTCCTACGTGTAATAGTATGAATTGAAAAATTATACTCCTTGACAGAGTTTTCCAAAAGTTCCTTAAATGCATTATGAGTTTTATTAATTTGAAGGCAAAGTATGATTTCTTGCAAAATTTATATGGAAGCGCTCTACTGCCCGTTTGAGTAGCTTGTGCAGGCCGGCGTTCTATAAATTTCAACTGCGACCGCGGATGCAGCTCGAAGCACCACCAGGACCTGCATGCTGCTCAGCATGCATACAGAGCGGGAAGATCCACCAATACGGCTCTGTACCAGTTGACCACTGAGATGGAGAGTTCACTGGAGAAAGGGGTAGAATGTGGTATGCGCCTTCTTGGACACCGAAGGTGCCTTTGACAACACATCTCACAGGAGTGTAGCCAGGGCACTGGAGAGAAGGAAGGTGGTAGCAAAGGTGCGTAGATGGATAGAGGCGTACGGCGCACCAGAATCGCTGAGAACACGGTAGGTGATACAAAGATTAGTCTTCGCACAACAAGAGGCTGCCCACAGGGAGGTGTGCTATACCCACTGCTATGGAGCTTTGTTGTGGACGACCCGTTAGCACTGCTAACTCACAATGGGTTCCGCTGCCAAGGGTATGCGGACGATATTGTGATTATAACTAGAGGTAAATTTGAGGATACTCTCAGCGGCCTGGTGCAACGAGGTCTAAACCTAGCAAAAGGGTGGTGCAGGCTAGCTGAATTGAATATCAACTCCTCAAAGACGACCGTAGTCCCGTTTACGAAGGCATTAATGGTGTGCAATCGGCTGGCGGGAAAATCCTGGGGCTGCAAGCCAAGGACCATTAGGTGGTTGTACACCATGATTGTGCGACCAATAATCACATACGGGGCGGTGTCCTGTGCCTCTACAGTGTCGCAGTGCCTAACAGCAGCTCTGGAGGTCCTGCTGGAACTCATACCGCTTCATATAGTGACCGATCACTAGTAAGTAGCCAAGCACTCACTTCTGCAAATAACAGCAGAGGGATGTGGCAAAGACAGGGTAATCTCGTCCCAGTGGATGGAAATGTTAAGTGGCAATATTCCAATTGCCCTAATCCCGAAGGACAGTATCACCAAAACAATTAACTTCACGAAGAAGTTTAAGGTTACCGTTGGCAGCAAGAATGAGTGGAACGACTCCACTCGTGAGCTAATGCTGAGGGATAGTTATAATAGTTATATAAATAAAGTAAAAAATAATATACGTAATCCAAAATTGTTCTATGTTCCGTCCGCTATGAAATATAAGTCTAGTATGTCCAGTGATAATCACACGATTTCTAATATAAGTTAACACAACATTTTATGAACTTCTACATAAATTCCATTCCCACATTATATGCTAGAA